TGGTAATAGAATTTTTTTCAGATAGCTAATCATTACTATGCAGTTGAAAATGGACTGCTCCATTATTTGCTTAATGACTTTTCAAAACGTCAGAGAAGTGCATCAGTTGAAAATAGAATCATAGAATCCAGAAGGCCAACTGTATCCTGGGCTGCATCCAAAGCAGCGTGGCCAGCAGGTCAAGGGAGGGGATTCTGCCCCTCTACTCCACTCTGGTGAGACCCCACCTAGAGTCCTGCGTCCAGCTCCGGAGCCCTCAGCACAGGAAGGACATGGACCTGTTGGAGTGGGTCCAGAGGAGGCCACAGAAATGATCAGAGGGATGGAGCACCTCTCCTGTGAGGACAGGCTGAGAGAGTGGGGTTGTTCAGCCTGGAGGGGAGAAGGCTCCAGGGAGACCTTATTGCAGCCTGCCAGTGCTTAAAGGGGGCTTCTAAGAAAGATGGGGACAGACTGTCTAGCAGGGCCTGTAGTGATAGTACAGGGGGTCATGGTTTTAAACTGAAAGAGGATAGGTTTAGATTGGACATAAGGAAGATATTATTTACTATGAGGGTGGGGAGACACTGGAACAGGCTGCCCAGAGAAGCTGTGAATGTCCCATCATTGGAAGTATTCAAGGCCAGGGTGGATGGGGCTCTGAGCAACCTGATCTAGTTGAAGATGTCCTGCTCATTGCAGCGGGGTTGGACTAGATGACCTTTAAAGGTCCCTTCCAACCCAAACCATTCTATGATTCTATGATTTCATGGTGCAAACAAATTCAAGTAATAATTTTAAGCCTACCAAAGGTTTATGTTTGAAGTACCACATGCAGGGCAAAACCATTCAACTCTGATCCATCCTGTTGGTTACATGTGAGTTCCTCAGAAAACCACAACCATCTTCCCTCCTTCCAACAACCACTTCTGAAACCTCCGCAGACTTTTCTGTACACGCCACTACTAACTGTTGCAGGAATGGTTTGCTTGTGACTTCACGGTAAAGCCTAATGGTCAGATCACGGGTATTGTTATTTCCTTTTAGGACACTGATCACAGGACATTTAATTTTCACTGGGCAACTAATAAACCTAAGATGACAGGGGTACTGCTTTTAAGCACCCCCACACATAAAAGGACAGTTCAGCCTGTTAAAACAAACCTCACCAAGTCATTCTACCAAAGCTGTACATTACATTAAAACTGCAGGTGCATATCCCCTCCCCCAGTATATATATATTTAGGGTTCTTTCTAAAAAAATGCCTTTTTTTGTAGAGTAACTTAGGGAGAACTGAAAGCAGAACCACTGATTAGCAAACTTTTGCAGAAAATGAGATATGTCTGAAAGGAGGAGAAAGAGGAATCTTGTGGCTCCCTGTATCTGCACAATTTTTCCTCAAACTTCTTCATTTCACATTTCAGATTTCATTTTGTTTTCCTTTATAGTAAAAGATAAGCTTTTCCCTTTGCTGTTGGTGACCTTTAGGGTAAAGGTAATTCTGTAATAACTGTAATTATACATAACTGTATAATAAAATAATTATAATAATGAAATTAATAATTTTGTAATATATTATCCTGTTCATAAAAATGTCAGTGACTGACAATTTTACGTGCAATTTTTTCTTACGTGTTCTACATCTTTCCTTTTCCTAAACGCTAACTGCTAAAGAGGTTACTAGACTTTCTCAAGAATCCCTGTAGAGTTCTGAGCAGAAATAAAACTGCCATGTCACTTAATGTGTTAGTGCCTTCTCACATGGGATTTCATCATCCTCTAGGACATCAGTCTCTCAGCATGTTACAATTATTTGTTAATTTTGATAGTGAACAGTGGTACCACCACAGATATGCGTAGTAACCTGTGGGAGAGCAAAATTAAAACAGTTGTCCTCGGATTATACCATAACAGAGCGGCAGTTGTGTAACCTTGTTTAAAGATTGTTACATAAAGTATAAGCATTTTGCACATCAATAAATGAGACACAGGAGAAGTAGTAGAAATCAAAGTGGTTATTTTGTTTATAAATAAAATTAGGTGACATTATTTACATGAAGTCTTTAGACGCCCATACAATCCTAACCATTTATACAAAGGCACCATGTTGCCCAAAGTGAGGAGTTAGATTACTTACCACCCATAAGCATACTTTGCTGCAAGTTTCCTCATGTTATTGTTCTCCAAAGGTGACATTGTATGGGGATAGGAAGGAGAAACTCCTCAAGCAACTCCTCAAACTCAGTGCAAGGGCTTAGACACCATAGCCACATACTGTCATTGTAGCAGAGGGAGGATGGGCGAAGTGTAATTTGAATAGCGGGTCTTCCGCAGCAGTTAATTAGGAAAATGACTACAGGCTGTCGTGAAAAAAGGATTCTCTGTAGCTATAATTTATAATGAGGTTACAAGGAAGCTCTCTCTGTTCCCTCTCTTACAGTCCTAGTCACAATCCGAACTGGAGCAAAACACCTGGATTTTTAATAATAAATGTCTTGAGCTTTCCTGCTCCGCTGGTCTGGATCCATTAGTACTGTGCACACCATGCAGTTACAAACTTGCATTTAAGTTTTGTGGTTACATATATCTATGAGAAGAAAAAGCAAAGTTTGAGATGATAGCCGATGGCTTGAACCTATGGATTTCTGCTCCCTGAACTAGCCAGGGAGAGAGTGAGGGAGCGACTGATTACAAGTATTCTTCCCATAGAGGCAGTAGAGAGTAGGAATAAACGTGATTTCCGAAACAAATCCAGTTACTGTTATTAGCCCAGCCGAGCACACCACCACCACCACAGGGAGATGGGGTGGACAGCAGAACAAGGCTGAAGAGGGCTTTCAGAGCAGATGGGTTACTATTGACCACTTTTTGTGAACAGGCCCCCTTTTTCAACAAAGGCCCCTGGCACCAAAAGAGAATAGTTGACTCCAACCCTTCTCCTACACTCGCTAGCTTTATCATCCCCAGTGTTTGAAAAATTCTGTAATTGAAAAGCCCAACTCTGACAGCTCCTGGTCAAGTACTTGCTGTATTTTCCAGTGTTGAAATCTCTGAATCTGCCACCTTGTGGCTTCAGTATTAGATGGCAGTCAAAACCCTGCGTGTAGGAAAACCTGAGAAAAGCTTTGGTGGTTGAGGTTGTTAGTCAGCCATTCTGAACAAATTTGACAGTACACAATGCGCACTTACGTTAATGTATTCAGGGAGGACAGCCTTCTAAATTTTTGCAACTGTTTCAGTAATTGCGGTTGAAGGAAATCCGTTCTCTAAAATACCCAAATAAAGTACATTTTCACCCCTGCAGTAAAATTAGCTATTGACATTCACTGGCAAACAGTAACACTAACTATCCAGTTGGACAACCAACCTAACTTAGCAGCACAGGTCTTAGAGCTGCTTGAGCACATTTTACGCTGTCCACAAAATGTACCCACCCCACCCACACGTATCATCACCGGTGCAAGGGTAGCAGCAATTCTTAACGCCAGCAGTGGTGTTGCTGTACCATAAAAGCCTGGGTTTGAGACTTTACCCTAGAGCCAGGAAGTTAACCTTCACTGAGCTTCATACTGCAGTGGCTAGACTAGAAAGAGTAGCCAAGCTAGACCATGCAGAAGGTGTCCGAAGTATGCACCCCCTCAGCACTGGAGATCCCACGACTAGAAGGCAGGCATACGTTAAGATGCAGAAAAGTCTCTGTACAGTACTGTTCCTCCTCATAAAAAAAAAAAAAAAAGTAATTTTGCATATTTTTTTATTACCCCCTTCCTTTTCCCTCCCTCCCTCAACCATTCTACAACTTTGAATCCCTCTGATGATTAAATCACTTGAATATCAATACTTTTAGAAATGGTGGTAAGCATGGATTATTTGTGTCCTCTTCAGTCTAACAAAATACTAAAACCAGTAAAATTTTAAGCACAGAAAAAGTCAAAACTGTTACTACTAAATTATGCAACTACCAGCATGATAATCTTTCAAAATATCTCGAATAGTCTTTATGTAGGTATATGAATCCCAGTGTTTATCCTATTGCTTTTTCAAAGTAAAGACACTTTTGTTCACTCCAAAAACCCACCTTATAAGGATGATTTCTGACATACTGAAATAGTTAGCCAGCACACATATAATTTCCTTTACCACCTCCCTAAAGGAAAAAAGCTTACCCAGTTGCACTGCAACAGCTCCTTGACAGACGAGTTTATTGAAACAATTTTTAAAAGCAGATATTTCTGAATGTACTCCATCAATCCCCACAGTTCAGAAAAACAATTGTTCAGTGTCTGAATGAAGTGTGCATGTTACAAATTGTACATTTTTTAATATACTCATTTATACCACATGACACGAGCATTAAATACAATGATTTCTTATATTACTCAGTATGCCAATTTATTGCTACAGCTCCCCCAAAAAAGTAGGGCACACCTGGAGATAGCTCTTAATCCAAGGCTATTACAGCTGTTCCCATGCCTTGGACCCCAAGATAGAGTCACTAATGTTCTGATGTAAATTGCCAGATTTTTAAAGTACTTTTTTAAATTTACATTTCAATTAAATGCTTTTTTCCGAAGACTAATCTTAGATGGTATTTTGTGGGAAGTGTAACACTTGAGTATTTACTACAAAATAAATACTTCAAATCATAGGATATAAAATTTTCTTCACCTTCATTTTGCTTGACATCTTTAGCCACACCAATCAGAAAAAACAGGTTCCGTGTATGAAGTTACAAAAAAAAATAGACACAAACAGTAAATTTAACCAACTTGCACAAGGAGTGAGGGCCCAGAGTTCATGGGTAAACTATTACTCCTACAAAATGAAAGGTGTTTGGCGCTTAGGAATTGCTGCCATATGTATTTGCGCAATAATCACAAGTTCTCATTGTATGCCTGTATTAAAAAAAGTAATTAAGCATTGATTTGGGTTTTCCTTTCTGTTTTGTTTCTAAGAACAGTCTTCAGGAGTTCCATATTCTGAATGCAAATGATTTTTTAGCTATTCCAATTTGAATGCAGCACAGCTGCTTCTTAAAGGTCAGGTTCCATTTGAAAGCATCTCTACTCTTTAGCTCAAATGATTTTCACATATTTGTTTTGCCAGCCCTTTTGACCAATAATATGATCACTTTATTGTCAAAATAAGCTTTTCATTTGCTAAAAAACGCTTATTTCAACAGTACAAGATCTCTATACCCAGTGTGAAAGCAACATGGTGGTATAAATAGATGCACACATTGTATTACACGTAATATATTATACACATTCCAGTTAACCATGGAACAATTAACAGGAGTAGATGACTACTAATCATGGCTACAAAGTATTTTTGTAAACAAGATTTTGAGAATCTTTAAGGAAAATCTTATTTGTGGAAAGATGACAATCTTGGGATTCCATTTTTGTTTTCAAAGAAGTTTTTTGTTTGTTTTTTGTTTTTTTTTAAGGATGCTGTATATAAGAATGCACTTCGTATTAAAACAAAGATCAATACTTTACAGTTTAAGAAACTTTACATATGTACATAAATTACACATCAGGAATGGTTTTAAAGCTCAAAATGAGTTGTTGAAAAAGTCTATTTTCCTTCTATTAAAATCTTTAACTCTTTTACGTTGTGATCATTTGCAACTGTCACAGCATGATCCAGTGCTCGAATACTTGCTAGAAGCTTTATGATCTGCTTTATGTGCTCCCTAAAAAAAGAGGAAGAAGAAATCAATACAGGAATAGACAAATCATATACAAGTATTAATATTTCAACAGAAGACTACATTATGAATCCATATAGCAAATCAGTTTCAGATAACTTCGCCTCATGTTCTCCTCCACTTAACCAACTTATTTTAATCAGACTAAGCATCAGCTTTGCACTGAAATTAAAAAAAAATATTTTGGGGTAGGAATTAATCATACAATATGATTTAATACTAGATGCAGCATAATCTCAAGAAAAAGTCTTGGATTACTTATAGTACTCTGCAATGAGCCACAGCTCTCTTGGTAACTAATGTTTAAGCAAGAAAAAAAAAAAAAATCAAGGCAGCAAGTATGCTTTAATGCGTGCCTTAAAAAGGTATGAAGCTATGAAGCTTGCCACCAATGAACTGCATTACAATTCAGGTCAATGTAGGAAGCCTAGAGTGAACAAACTGCTAGGACTTCGGCTGTCAAAAACCATTTTGGTATCTTGCTGGGAGGACGGACATGAATTTTAGACCAGTCTCACAAAAAATACTAGAAGTTCAAAATCAATCTTAAAAATGAACCTAGCTGATCTGTGAAAACACATCCAGTTTGGAAAACTAGCACCAGACATCGGTAAAGATACACTTCCCTCTCGGCAGCAATTACTGCATTTTTGTTTCAAACAACTATATTAGGCTTTATACGAAAACACATAACATTCTTCAGTTATAAAAAGTAGTATTTCTGCTGCAGACTTTATTTGGGGCTATGGCAAAAAGATTTGTTAAATGCCTAGAAAAAGCAAGAAGACAGAAATTAAATTAGAACTCTCTATGAAAAACAGATTAATTAGATGTCTCTCTTCCAATACAAAATTTTACCAAATTGTTATTTCAGCTGTTAAAGAAAGTTCTTTCAAATTCATAAACAGGCTACCAAAAGAGAAAAGTAATCTCTACCGGATGCTCTCAAGTCCTTAATTTCAATTCCAGTATCATGCTAGGCCAGGCATTTTGGTTTTAGAAAGGAAGGGGTAACAAGTCTATTTTGAATTTGAATCATGGGGAAATTTAAATTGGTACGTGACACTACTATCATACTTTGGACACAAAGTTCTGAGGCATAACTTTGTTGCCCAGTGTGGCAACAAAGCTCAGTGTTCTCTGAAAACAAGATGATTCATATGCCACTGCCAAAAGTGACTCCAAAGACAGAAAAGTGTCCAATAACCAATGTGGTAACTGGGAAAAAAAAAAAATTGATACCAGGAACACAACCAACCTCTTAACCGAGATTCTTCTGCTATGGTTTAAGGAAAATTTTTGTCTCTGTGTTTCAGTGCTATGCCTAAGATCAAAAAGGGAGAACGATCTAATCCCTCAGAAAGCCTCAATAATTGAAGGGTAACTCAATGGCTCAACCAAGTTCAACTATCAAGAATGACTAATGCAGGTAGCAAGGAGGTTCATCTTTCCAAACTTCAGGTTTGCTGGAACAACAGAACTATTGACCTTGAAACCTATTCTTCTCATGCAACAGCACAGGAATAAACCATTTTCCAGTCTTGTTATATTCCTGCATATCAGTGCAACAACTTGGTCTTTAAGTTTATCATTGCTTAAAACGACACATTCATAGCATTTCAGGTGACTTGGCCAACAGTAACATTTATGCATCTAATCTGAACTTTTAATTATGCTGGTTATCAGATACAAATAAAATGACTCTTCAATCTAGGAGAAAACAGGTTCATCTAATTCGTTGAGTAAATCAAGTCCGAACTTTTGTAATATATACAAAAGCAGTTTGTAACTTAGAAGCCATTATGCAGCAATCAGCAACAAGCTCACAAGGTGGAACAGTCCAAAACCAGTAGATAGAAAATTTGCCAGGATCAGTGACACTAAGCATTAGTGCTAAATATATTATGAATGTTTAAAGATTTCCAGCAATTGCTGTTTTGAGACACCTTAAAAATCTCTCCACCTACCATACCGCAAGATTTTTTAAGTGTGAATTCAAAGATGTTTCAAAAGACATGGAGCAGTATGGAGATATTTATTCATGTTTGCATGCATCAGCAGAATACTACAAAGCACAAGAATTGCAACTGCATTAACTGAAAATAAGTTACCTCGCATTTCTTTTCTCTACATCAGAGCAACCAATGCTGTTTCTATAAATTGTATCGGCCAGATGAACAAGGTATCTACAGAAGTTTTCGAGCTGAGAAATAGTCTTGTCTCCTTTTAGACTAGCGAACCACTGTTTAGGAAAGCAAGCAATTACCTAGACATAACACGAAAAAGAAAGTTAAACACAATGTAACAAAATTTTAAAAGCTAGCTAACAAGATTTGTGAAGTCTGCCATGTAAGATTGCAGTGACAAGGCCCAACTCAGTGCAACAGTAAGAAACCTACCAAAAAAAAAACAACCCCACCCCAAAAGTCAAGCAGTAAACCACTGAAATCTACACTGTACCTAAACTATCTACAGGTATGAGCCACAGAAAGTTCCTTCCTTAGTTTGTGTATTCAAAAAAAAATTATCTAATTTTCACCGACATGACAACTTTGAGATATCAAGGCCAAGATTTCACAGGTGACCAAGTTTTAACTACACTTTTCCTCCAGTTGAAGGTTCTGAATTACAAGAGATTTTAAACACTGTTTGATTTTACTTACACTTTGAGCTTTCTTAATGCTGTCCTCTCCATACTCAGAGTTTTGAAAAGCCATAAGAATATATCTATTTAGCAGACCATCTATTGACAGCTCCTGGAGAGTTTTGTTTGAAAGGATTCCATACCACTGGAGAAAGTTTCCTAATAACTGAAAATACAACACAGGGAAAATAAGTATTTTAAAATGTACTGAAACCAGGAAGTTGATCAAACACTCTAGAGCCTCTTCAAATGCAACAGTATGGCCAAGGTAAGCAGTGAAAATATGCCTTCTGTTAGCTTCAAAACTATTCAGAATCCGTGAAGCACCAGCCTAGAGTGTTACAAATTCTCATACAACAACGACCACCACCTCAACTTTGCTCGTGTTTTGCCCAAGAAATCAGAAAAAAAAAGAATTAAAGTTTTAAGCCACCTTGTTCTCAAAATTTTATGTCCATGTCAAGCCCAGTGAGGCCTAGCATATGCCATACAGGGGCAAATTCACATCCCCCTTGTCAATGAAATCCCCAGCTCTGCTGCCAGCATACCCTATTTGCAAGGCACGGTGACACAAGAGGCACAGAAAGCGTCACGGGGGAGTGCTGGCTGTGCCAGCAGTACAGCTGTTACTGCCCACTGGTGTACGGCTGGTGGGAGAATTGCTGCCAGCCTCGTACAAATGAACGCAGACAGCAGTTTACTGTTGAGGCAGATCATCAGGAAACAGTAAATGAGCGCTTGCCTCCCAGCTTCTACTTCTACTCGTCTGTGATGCTATCATCGACTTTCTAGCACAAGAAAGCTGTATTTTTAATCCTTCCCTAAAATAAACAGTGGTAACAGCCCGCATAAACTGCCCAAGCTCTGACAGATACTGCCAGAAGCAGGATATTTCGCTCTTAAGAGATACACGCCCTAAATAAGCAGTCTGTTTCATTTGTAACAGCAGCATTTTAATAAACAAGCTTTGTGCATATTTTGGTCTAGACAGCATTTAAGAAGTTGACTTTTATTTCAAAGTGAAAGAATTCAGCAACAAATATGTTAAGTAAATAAAGTGATTGCAAACCTATTCTGAATACAGTCTCCCTCACTGCTGCAATTTAGATAGAAAATTCCAGATAATTCTGTTTGTGGGACCATGGAAATGAGCAGTTCAATCAACATGGGTCTCATACTTTACTTTCCTGTTTAGTTTGGAGTTCATTTTCTTCACAGCCTTTTATTGGAAATAAACTGCAACAGTCATAGCTTCTTATAGACCTTTGCAAACTCTATATTGCACATTCCACACACAGACTTTTTCTTTCACACTTTATCGTTTCAATTAAACTAAGATTACAAATGCTCTTATAAACAGCAGTGAGCCTTCCAAAAGGGGCCAAGTTATTTTCATGAAGATTCTCAAACACAGACTATATATATATAAAAATACAAACCAAGCGCTCTCATTTCCATGTAAGTGAAATAAAAGCAGCATATTTTATTCTGACAAGCACAATGACATTAAAAAACCTGGGTTGAGTATGCTAAGTAAACCCTCGATCTACAGGTTAAAATGATGATGCTTTCTCTTGGCAGTCTTTTGAAGAGGGCACAGTGCATTATCAAAGACTAAGAATCCTAATTTAGAGTTCTTTCAAATAAAGTTAAAAGCAATTTCCATCTACCATTTTCTACAAATTTGAAGAGGATTTTATTACTACGCTGTCTAGACCAAAGATTTACTGGATGTATTTACTGACTTACCTTAACAGAGGACCAAAACTGACGTTGGAAAAACAAATATGGACCAGAGTTCTTGTTTTCTAAGATGCTGGAAAGTAAGAGATTTCTTTAATGAGCAACCAAGACCACCTCTGTCTGGAGTTTGCTGGCTTCCTCCTTCCCACACACAGTTCATTTCTATAAATATTCCCTTTCATCCTGCTTGTCTTTGCTAAATCCTCACAGCACGATAACAAAACATCTCCTGTATCCAGCCAGTGAACCATACTGGGAAAAAAACCCTGTTAACTATGGACAGAAGACACCGACTTGCTAATAAAGGTCTAACACCATAGTTGAAAGCAAACTTACTTTTTTGGATATAAGGGCATGAATACATCATCATCTAGTGTTCTCCTCATTCTTAGCAACAATGCCTTTAAAAGCATCTGAAACAGATAATTTTTTTTTTAAAAGCGTCCAAAACACTGCTTCATAGTTAACCACTCAGAAATAGATTTTTCAAAGCAACAAAGAACATTTGTGACCCTAACAGTAAGAGGCATACACACTTAAGCACACATATAAATAAAGTCTTAAGAGAAGCCTGTAATAATTAACAGAGCTGAAATTTGACACTTTCAATAAAAATGGAAGGCAATGGAATTACTTTATGGTTAAGCTTGGCTACACAACTAACTTCTGTGAAGTCAGGGCTTTTGTCATTTTTAAGCTTCTGCTAACTTCCCCACTTGGCCCACCTCCCATTATTCTAAAGACAATGCATACATTGCATTAGCTACAGCACCTGAACTCATGACATCGGTTCTTGTATTCAGAGAAGCTAAGTAAAATAATCAAATTTCAAGGCAATACATTTCAAAAGGTTACAGAGATCTAAAAAAAGAGAAGCCTGACTATTTGTAGCTGACGCTTAAAGCAAAACTGCAGGCCAACAAGTCTTAGTACATTTGGTATCTCTTTTTATTTCTAGCATTTATTTTGCAGAGACTTCACTGAGTTCCTCCTCCTAATTTATCATGTATTTAATTCTCCATAACTAGGCTGCAGAGCAACAAATAATTGCAAAATTCTCTTTCTTGCTCCTCACTAAGCATGCTGTGTTCTCCAATATAGTGTATTAAAAATATATTCAAATTCCTTAACTTATGCAAGATATTTAAGAAAAAACAACTTACTTGCATATTTTTGTTTTCTGCATTCACCACTGAAGGATATCCATCTACTAGTTTCTGTACAATTGCTACCATTCTAGATGTTTGTGTTGTAGAAAAAGGATCCCATATATTTTCAGAAATCACTGTAAGAGAGTACAAGAATTACTCTACTTTGCAAATAATCAAATAAAGGTACTAAGACAATCAGGCATTTATTTACAACACAGTAAAATCTGAAAGCACAAACAAGCATCAGCTTCCACACACACCCCTTTTCTTTCCAAGACTGTACCTGTTAATTTAGGGAGAACAACTCTCTCTACAATGGTAGGCAATAGTGAAATATCAGCATCATCTTTCACTTGCTCCTGTTCTTCACAGCCATAAAACAGCAATGATTCAAACCACAACATAGTCTCAAAATCTCGACACTTGCCCTAACAACAAAAGAATTGAGGTTAGATTCCTAAACAGAGATTTGAAGTCAACACATAAAAAAGTATTATACATGCAAGTATGATACACTCACAAAACAGAATAAAACTACTTTAAAACAGTCTACCAAGTGTGCTAAGCAGGCAGAGTAAGCAGGAATTAAGCACAATAACAACTTAAAAAAGATATAGTGCCTCAAGACCTAACAGTCTCTTTATCTGGCACAAGAACGGGCAAATTACTTCACCTGCTTTGTCTCCCCTACTTCTGAAGCAGTGATACTACTTCCTTCAGAAACATAGGCAAGCCTGATTCCTGAGAAGCAAAGAAAATGTTCTGCCTCTGCCTGCATGCTACCAATCATGGCATCACAGGTCAGATTAGTGCATATGGACAACCTAACCTAACCAAAACCTGAGAGAGGATGAGGAGCAAGGTCCATTTTCCATAAATCTGCTAAATGAACCAATTCACTTTACAACTACACAATCACTAGATCTAATGAAAGTGAAAATAGTGGAAGCAAGACTGCTTTTTTTGGCAGCTGTTGCCCTACAGATTTTAACTTCTAAATACACCAGACCCAAATAAAAGCCTACAGATACGGGTAGAAGTGAGAAGTATAATTAATTTGTGCTGTGTTACAGAATTATGCTTTCTGGATTAAAAAACTCTTTTTATGAATGCCTTGCAGTTTTTCTAACAACAAAATGCTTAACAGGACCAGTAACACAGAGCAGTGAAAATCATTAGATTTGAGAATTGTGCACAGTGTCTCCAACTAACTTGAACTTTGTTTTGCCAGCCTGGGAACTCACACAGGAATAGCAGGGGGGAACGGAAAATGTGCAAAAACGGTTTTAAATTTAATGAGGACACCGTTCACAGATTTTCCCTCTTTTATTCAAATTAAATACTCTGAAAGCTCTCTGAAGTCTCGTGCTTCCTATCCTCTGCAATCAGAGCAGAGGCCACAGAAGATCCCCTTCTACAAATATATCAGTAGTAAAGAAAAAAAATCACTTCTGAAAAAAGAAGAGATTCAGTCATTTGTGAGATAGGCTGACACATCTGCAGACGGTGCTGCAGATGAGCTAAGTTTTGAAAGGGAAGGCGACAATCTGCTTTATTAGGCTAGTTTCCTAATTAAAATGAAAAAACACACCAAAAAAGGAAGCTTATGAAATTTCACTCACTCTGCGCCTATGACCCACTCCCCAGTAAACGGCAACACAGCAGCAAAAAAGTAAGTTTCTACCAATACTGCAAAAATACACACCTGACTGCAGCAGAAACACCTTACAAAAGCTTTCAGTGGTAGGAAGAACAGAGTGGAGTTCAAAAGCTATCTGAACTGTTTGTCCTGATGGCTACTCATGTCAGCACACGCATGCAGGCTGAACAATGAATATATGCCAGGGATACTGGGCTGCAACCATGTTATCCTGCTTTTTCCATGTTCCTTACCTAATAACGGGGCAACAAGTACTATGAGGAAGACTTGGAAATTGCCATCCAGAGTTCTACAGGGTATGAAGGTGTAGGTGAGAGAAAGAAGGATGTATAAGGTAGAGACATAGGTTCTAAGTCAACATAAAAGCAGGCTTAGGTCCACTTCTGAAGAAACTGTATCTCTAGAATGACAATTTTCTCTTACGTATTTTAAAACCTAAATGTATCACTTAAGAAGCTTAAGTGGCTTTTTGGTCCACACCACCCATTGAGAAGGTACTGGCACATGCTGAACTGAACCCTGGCCTGCTGGGAACACAGAGGACAACAGTCCAGAAACTCCCCAAAAAAAGCTTCACCCCAAGAGAAGTGCCCATTTTAAACTTTGTGCCTAGAACACGCATTTACGAGAAGCACACATCAAAGGTGCAATTTACTTTGCTCTGCAGAAGTGTGGAAGAACCACTATAGACAAGCTTATGTAGCAGTTGCTTGCAGAGGACCTTACCTCCAAAGGAGTCCAGATAAGCAGCTGAAGTCTGATTAAAGGGTTAAACAGCTTTGGTAAACAGAGGCCAATATAAGCATCCTTATAAGAAGCAAAGTACTTTGAGCGCCAAGCTTCAAACTGTGACTTAATACAATCAATTGAGTAAAAGCTTTCCAAAACATCTTCGAAAACTTTGCTGGATTCTTTCAATATACGGTCTGGGGGGGGGGGAGGAGAAAGAGAGTAACAAATTAATTGCCTATTCCCTGTAACACCTCTTTCAAGATGGACTTTGATGTTCACTGGCATAAGCTAACTCCTATTAAACAAAACCAAAAAAACATCACCTTTAAAAGTTCTGTTACTTCTGCCTCAAATACACAAAGCAATAAAAACGTAAGTACTTTGCAATGTACTATTTTATCACAAGTCTGGTTTTAAACATTTCATACAATGATTTTCAGTTACCAGACACTGGATTGGTGATGTATTGGGCTGTATCCAGTGTGGCTCTAACTTCAAAGCTGGCCTTGCTCCGCATGGGAATTTGGAACAGCTGATCTCCAGGTCCCTTCCAACCCAAATTATTCTACAGCTTTGTTCATCCAAGTGCAAGTACAGGAGGGCATCTCAGATAAGCAACTGAATCAGCTTTTCAGACTGAGGGGGTCCTGGCAGACACCATGCTAAGCTCCTGAGTGTAACATGTCTGTTAGCACTGGACAACTATTACAATCCCTTAGCACCTTCCTTACCTTTTTTTTTTTTTTTTGTATTTACAGTACTAGGATTCTATGTGGTCCAAAACTTTCTCTATATATACTATTTTGCCTTCATCTTTTCTACTTCCCAGGGTGAGTTTCATTTCAGTCAGTCATTTTTGCTGCAGCCACAGTTTTAAATGTTCAGTTACAGTAGTATCCTATACACAACTAACGTAACTAGTATACACAGCAGGTAGAGACAGGGCTGAGGAAACATGACATTATATCATATAAACAGACTTTTCACACAGGGATCAAGAGGAGATGTACAAATAAAGTTAGCAGGTCCAAAGTGCACCTCTCTGTTCCACATAGCTCACTGCTGACTGTGGACTAATATAAGAGCTACAAATAATAAAAAAAAGCTTTAGAAATACTATGCTTACTCATAAACTGATGAAACTCCTACAAAAGGGTTTTGTACACATAAAAGCGCCAAGTTACGAGGAACAATTCAGCCACACTGGATTTTTAATCTAGATCATTTAACTTAGCAAAGTTAGTTATAGCACCTAACAACCACAAACAGTTGCTTTGTTTATCAAAGACCTCTCCCTGCATCCACAATTTTGTTAAATCAGCCAGCAACTAAAGGTGTGGAAACTGTTCAGACTTCTGAAGGATCCAACTGCTAGACAGTTCACCTAATTGTTTTTTCCAGCTGTTCATAATTTGGGTCTCCACAACCACCTACAGCAATTACTTCCAACATTTTTATTACACTCTCTGTGGAAAGTGACTAGTTTACTTTAAACCTATCCTATCACTTCACTTCATGCCTCCTAGCTCTCATACAGTGAAAAGGCAACACTGTCTGATGAAAGCTCAAGAGTCCAAAACTGTTTAATACCTCCTCACATACAACATAAGCAATTCTATATATGTGAACCTTGCTGCTCTCCTTTTCCACATTTCTTCTAATTTGATTAAATTCTCTTTAATCAGACAGAAGTATAAAGTTCAAAATAAGAAAGTAACAGGATTACCACAGTGATGTTCTACTTTCTTCACTACTGGTTTCACAGTAACCACTGGAATTGTTTACCTTTTAACTGCTGCTGTGAAAGATGACTGTTCCATCAAACTATCCATACTTCACCAAATCTCAGGCTTCTTGCCGTTCTCCCAGTGCTTTAGAGGCATTAGCTTAATTTATAACCCCATTTACTGCATAGTTATGCATAATTGCATAATAATGGTTAATTTGAGCAAGCCATAATAAAACTGCAGACAAATTTCAAATCAAGTCAATACCACAATATCTTTCATCAGTGTTTGCATTCCACATTGTTTTCTATCATCTGCAAAGTTTGCCAGGCTGTAACAGCCTACAAAACTTTTGTCATTGCATTTCTAGATGCACAAAACTCCAGAAAATGCTTCCTATCAAGCAAAAAAAAAATTTCTAAAGCACTGAGGTTTTCAGAATTTCACATGTAAGATAAACAGATATTTGAAGAACAATAAACCATGTTACAAATTAGAAGGAAGACTTAATATCCACTGAAGGTACAAAAGTTTTCTGCTTACCAGCAAAAGAATGTTTGAATTAAATAAAAAGAATCTCACTAAGGATGGGATATTTAGGTAGCTGCAAGCTGCACAACAGATTGGCAAAAGAGACTGTTTTGGTCACAGTGATTATCCAGCAAGGCACAGTTCCTAAAGCTTCTCTAAAATACAATGAAATGCACATACAGGGCTGCATTTGGACCATTTCCCTCCCTGCACCCGCCAAATTTTCTGTATTTTGTTACACAAAGCTTCAGTAGCTTTTCTAACCTCGCTCCATGTTGAAGTTTGTAATATCTGTTGAAGTTTCCTCATCATCACTGGAAAGGCCTTCAAGGTGATCTGCCATCTTCCCAGTTTGCTCTCTTGCTTGTCTACGACGAGCTCTGAAAAGGATCAGCAGTATAAACCACCTACTACTTTTTTCTGCCCCCTATACAATGAACAGACCCACCTAAGCTTGTCTTAACTTTTAAATCCAGGTTGAAAAAAAACTTTCACTAGGTCACCACACCAAACATTCCACTATATTGCTGCCTCAAACAATGGAAGGAAGAGAAACCAGCAGAGACTGTATATATACAGAATGGGTTTACTGTGCTTTCTTCAGTGGTTTAGAATCAGTATCATGCAATGGTGCATGATATATATGGA